CCCCCAGGGGGAGGGCCTTCTCTGTGGGTGCCCCCACCCTCTGGAACGAACTACCCCCCGAGATCCGGACGATTCCGGATCTCCTAGGAAAGGCGGCGCGGGAGTTCTGTACCGAAAAAGTCGTTCGCCCAGACCGGATCCCTCTTAAAATTTTAGGGACAATTTTAATTATTATTTTAATATGACACAGCGGTAAATATTTGTTTTTAATTGGTTTTTATTGGGGATAGTGCTTTGTACTGTTTTAATATGCTGTGAGCCGCCCTGAGTCCTGTGGGGAGAAGGGTGGCATATAAGTTTAAATATAAATAAATAAATAAATAAATAAATAAATAAATATGCATAATTCTGTATTTTTTTATTTATTTTTGTCATATTTATGTAGTGTATATTGGAGGTAGAGACCCTTTGAGAGCTGAATGCAGCGAAATTTCATTTTAATGTATGCCGATTAGTGTACACTCAAAGTGACAATAAAGTTAAAATTATTAAAGTTATTAAATACCTTAAAGACTACCAACCCAGCTTTTTGTGGTCTAAGATCTCATTTTCCTTCCCTATGCAAAATTACTTCTGTGACAGCATTTTCATTGCAACCACAAGAGTTCATCTGCTCCTTTCATTTATCTTAAAAGATAAATACAATGCCAAATGCTAACAATTTACACAGATTACTAAACAAGCATCTTCACAGGCTTCTTCAACAAGCTATTAGAAATGAGTTATTTCTGAGTTCACCTAAGGAGTGTTTGCTGTTGCTTCAGAAAAAGGAACAGTTTGTCCAGCCTATTCTCGGTAGCCATAGCTATCCATGCCTACAATTTTTTTGTAGCTATCCATGGTCACATGGTTTCATTTATGCAAATAAAGCCTATGGAGATATTAAACAAATCTTGGTTTTAAATGCTAAGGTTATAAAAATGTCTAACTGGCTGGTAGACAAATTCCTCTCCTATGTGTTTGAGAGCTGGTCTAGCTAACATTCCATGATTTGTGGGCCTCCACAGATTCTCAGGAAACTACTCAGAATTCCCAGGAAGTTACTAAAATCCATAGCCAGGTTTGCTGGGCATTCTAGGACTTATGTTGAACATTACTGGAGAACGTTCAGTCTCGGTATTGCTGAGACAAATAAGTTCGTTATTTCAAAGTACGGAAAAGTAAGTGCGTTCAGAAAAGATCTCTTGTGATCCTGACTAAACACATGGGCAATAACTCCTGGCTTCATACTAGCCTATCAGTGTACTGTTTCTGTATTCAACTCGTTCTTGAATTACATATAGTTTCTTATGTCAAGTGACATGCCTTGAATATCCCATCATCACTTGGCAACTATTAGGAACATTACATGAACATTCTTAGAGGACTGGCATCCAATTCACAGTGGGTATTTTCAGTTCTATGAGCAGCAAGACAAATGGTAGCACCTCACCATTATTCTTTATGCCACGTTTCTCTAACGTTAGGCCTTGAGGATGCATTGCAAGGCTACTGCCACAGCCAAAAACTATGTTATGAGAGTTGAAAGCCAATGTAACCAAAGGAGAGAGTTGTGAAGAAGATCCTAGTTTGCTAAAACATATCCTCATTCCATCTTTCTGTCCACAAACACAGGAAAAAAGTATGCCAATACTTCCTTCTTTATTTTATGTTGTAAAATACTAATAGCTAATAGGGAATGGGTCCATTTTCAGACTTCTATCCAGACAGTGAATTCTTTGAATTAAAGCATCTCAAAGAAAATGATCTCACAACATCGTTCTATTAATTTATCTTTATCTTGGAGGACTGATTGGTATTTTAAGCTAGATTTCACATAGCTAATTTTGCATGACAGCAGTTATAACATCCCATTTTAAGACTTGTGCAACAGTACGGCCATACTGAGCATGCTTCAGTTTTTTCCTTTGTGTGATTTCTGCTGGAAAAGTCATAAGGAGAAACAAGGGAGAAGGGCTAGCAAACAGCTTTCTGTTTGGCATCACTAGACCTGAAGACCATTGTGTAAAGTTAATTGATTATTTGCTACTAAGTCATTTTAACTCTCAGCAACCAGACAGATAGATTTCCTCCGTGATAATTAATCCCTAATCTGGTCTTCCAGATCTTCCAAATTGCCACTGTAACTGAGCCCATCCACCTTGCTACTGGTTGATCTTCTCTTTCTTTCAACCTTTCCCAGCATTATAGATGTCTCAAGAGAGTTGGTCTTCACATAGTGTCCAAAGTAGTATAATTTGAACTTGGTTGTTT